CACGAGAGAGGTTTTGCTCCAACAAATAATTTGTTAGTAAATTAGTTCACACTTCTTACCATTCAAACAACACACTTTACTTACAAATTACCCTCATGAGGTGCACACACCTATACACACGCTACATACAACAAACATACTGCTTAAAAATGTTGATTGCTCCCGAAAAATCTTGGAAGCGTCTGAGAGCCCCGGGGCCATTCCGAGAGCTCCTCAGTTGTTTATATTTCCTTATCTCTTTATCGCTTCTGCACAGGGGACTCCCCCGCCTTGCTGCTTTTTCGGCAAGGGATCCTTCTCCCCCCTCGCCACTTCGGCAGGGCTACGCCCCCTCCTCTCCCGTGCTGTTTTTAGCTCGGGGGACTTCACCCCCCCCGCCATTGCTGGTCGGGAGAAAAAAAAACCTTGAAACTTTTGTGTTAGATGGTCGAGGTTTCTTGGGATCCCGTCTCGCGACTGGGACTCTGTTTTTTTATAAGTCCCTCAGAGGGCTAGGAACTCTTTGTTACTCTGCCTGCGCCGCTCAGCGATGCTCCCGGAGTCGCCGCGCGCACAGTCACGCCGGTTGTCCCGGCGCGGCCCCTGCCGCCGGTACTCGACCCTGACACCGCGCGGGCCGCTCCCCCTCCGCCTGGTGCTGACTCTTTCTCCGCAGCGCCGCCTGGCCCCCACTGGCCTGCGGAACTCGCCGCCGCCTCCCCCGCGCGTCTCAGCCGCTCTGCGCTGGCTTTCGCCCGGCCCCGCCACTTAGCACCGCCCGCCTGGGTCGGCTCCGCCAGCCGCTGCTCAGCATCGCCCGGGCCGGTGCCCTGAGCACACACACCCACCCACCCACCCACCCACACCACCGGTGCCCCGGGCGCGCACACACGCCGCCAGTGCCCAGCGCCGCCTGGGCCGCCCTGCTGGGCGGATCCGCTGTTCGCTGCGAATTCTTATCGGGCCCCCCCCCGGGCCGACTCCGCCGCTCTCTCTGGGCCAGCCTCGGTCCCGGGGTGGCCCCGCGCTGCCGCTCCTTTTACTCGCTTCTGGCCCTCCCAGGCCCACTTCACCACATCGCCTGGCCCCAGTCACGGACCGGCCTCACCCCGGACGCTGCGCGGACCACCGCGCCGCCGCGGCGCGGCTCAAGGGTTCTTACCGACCCTCCCCGCGCACGCCCCGGCCCCTGACTGGTGCGGTTTTGGCTTTTAGTTGAATTTCTCTTATAATGCTATTGCCACTGGCTTTTGATTATGCTTTTTGTGTTTCATGTTTTTCCCCGTTTTTACCTCAGAGCGTATTTCCTTCTTACGTCTCAACAAGCGCTTTGTTCGGTCACTGGCCACGTCCCTCGCGGAAGCTTGGAAACGCAGTTAAAAGAACTCCACTCTCGCCCCGTGCGCAGTTCCACGTCTCACTCACACACATACATACATACACCTCGTAGTTTTAGCCCCCTTGAATTAAAATAGCCCTTACCAATTTTGATGTGTCCAATTCTTTCCTGCTTTCTTTGTT